AATTATTGTACTTTAAAAAAATTAATTTTTCAAAATTATCTTTTGATAGTACATTTTTTAAGGAATATCAATGTTATAATTATACTTTCTATGTTGTTACTGAATTTAAAAGAAGGGCAAAATAAAAAATTTATATTATTTTTGTATTTGATTTTTGAAAAGGAACTAATATTTTAGGACAATGAAAAATAGAATAAGGGACTAATATTTTGAGACGGAATGAATAGTTAATTTCAAACACTAATTACATTTAGGATTCGTTTGGCAATGATTTTTTTTATCAGTTTTTTAGTTTTTTTTAACCTGAAACTTTTTTATTAGTCCCCCTTTTATGATGGCCTTTTTTGGTTTTTTTTTCAAAAAAAAAAAAAAAAAAATCTTGAAAAAATGAAAATTAATTTGATAAAAATAAATATTAATTTTTTTTAAAAAAAATTTAAAATTATTAATTTTTTTTCTAAAAGATAAAATAATGTAAAAATGATAAGTATTTTTTTAATTCTTTCACCAAATTAATTTTTTTTTTTAAAAAAAAATCTGAAACAAATCTCTCAAAACCAAACCAAAAGTATCTCGGTTGGTCATTTTGAATGAAAATCTTACTCCGGGATAAATTGCCCCCATCTTCATATGACAAAGTAATCTTTCATTTGTTAAATAAAAAGATTTTCAGATAAATTGTGTGTCACAAATTTGAATTAAATATAATATTAGTTTATCTTAGAAAAAATAGTCATGTCCCTTATCAGAAGGAAGGAATAATGATTTGTTCCATCTAAGAACTCAAGATAGATATGATATGACTCGATGAATGCTAATTAAAGATTAACAAAATATGTGAAAACAAGAATTTCTGGAGATTAATGTCGTACATAGCTCCTCCTAAGAAGGACAAATACCTCTGATTTCTTTTCTTCTATAATTTCATATAACAATAATGCTAAAATAGAGCACACAAAAAATATATTATGTGGGTTAAATTCACTTCGAGTGTAGTGTATGTCACACTTAAAATAAATCTTGGCAACATATAGTTTCCGATTTCTATTTTGTAAACTTAGCATTATTGTTTATATACGCATCAAGATATATTAAACCTATATTTTAAAATCTAGGGTTATTTATACGGAAACCTCCTAAATTATTGAGAAGTATCACTTTGATTCCCTAAATTATAAAAGTGTACAAATGAACTTTCTAAACTATTGAGAAGTATCACTTTGATCCCCTAAACTATATAAAACATATAAATGGACCCCCTAAACTATTGGCATGTTTCATTTTGACCATTTTCGTTACTGCACCGTGAGTTAAACTAAAATTTTAATATTTTTTAGACGAAAATACCTTTCAGCACTCTATATATTTACAATTCCATTATTATTGTTTTTTAATTTTTTTTAA